GAAGAAAACCTTCATATATATAGAAAAACGGATAAAAAAATAAAGTAGTGTGAAGGAAAAGAAAAAGGAAACCATGTAGAAAACTCAAATGAACACAAACTTGGAAAATTATACTGAAAGCATTGACAACAAAGACAACAACAAAAACAATAACGGGGAACGATAATGATGATGTCATTGTCTAAAGGATAAAATGTGCAACAACTAATACGAGCAACGCATACAGTGACTGAATGTACAATAGTTAACAATATTATATATGTATGTGTGCTTACATATGTAGATATTCGTATAAGAATATAAAACATGCATACACATGTACATACAATCGTTATTCTAAAGAATATTAAATGCAAGTACATTTCTTATTTTTAGTTTTGTTATTGTTTTCTTTTCTTTGTTGTTTTTTCTATTAAATTAAACATAAAGCGTCTGAGGAGTAAAGGATGTGCTTTTGTGCAACATTAAAACGGAAGGACGCATAAAATAAATTGAAAGAAAGGATATCAATGCATATACAAACATTCATACATACATACATACATGACATTTTTATAAGCTTAAAATTGTCATTGCTTTGCAATAACAAAAACATGTTCGATGCACACGCATACATAAACGTACACATGCATGCACAAACACGTACATGAATGATACTATATGTCGGAGAGTTTCAATTTTCAAAATTAGTCTTTAAAAAAAAAAATGCAAAGAGAAAATTTATCTTTATTGTAATTTTTCTTTGAAATGTTGTTGATGCAACAACAACAACAACAATCACAACGTATAAAAATTAATTACATTCACATCAAACTTTCATATACATAGACAGATCTTATATGATATTAGATATGTAAACGTTTTCGTAACAGCGTTTTTCCTTTTATTATTGGATTGGCAAGAAATCATTCGCGGCCTTCGTGCGCGGATACCTTTGCATCTGTTTTGAATAATTGCCCTCCAGAGCTTTACTTGTGACTAGATTAGAGCCGATTACAAGCCATTAATAATATTCATATTTCAATTTCATACAGAATGGGTGGTTGTTTCCCTCTTCTATCGTATGGTATCTTGCCAGCCCATGTCAAAGATTTCGATATCTGAAATTCATAAAAAGAAATAATTATGTTTGCTATCAGTTGATAACAAGTAGGCGGATAGATTAGTGGAAGATAGATAGTTGAAAATTTCCGTAACACAAAATAGGATCAAAATCGATGTTGGCTATCAAATTGCTTAAGAAGAGTGCAATGGCTCACAAGTCCCTTTTATCTCAGCAAGGGAGAGATAAGAACTTATTACGACTCGTTTGAGGAATTCGATAGCATCTTTTCAACAATTTCACTCAATTATAGATTTTATTGAAACCTTGCAAAATTTTGATAAAATTATACTGATAGAGCTGAGTGGCATTAGCCTAACTTTTCTTACTATTGAAGGCCAAAAGGTGTTTGTGTTTATAGAATGTCATCGTAACCTTTTCTGAAAGTTGACGATCTCTGATCGCGTGAAATGAAAGGTATATAGTTAATAATAAGACTTTCTTCAAACGTCTAGATTCAGCGATCCTCATCTGACACTATTTGATTAGCCTTTACCTAAAAATGTTCTCCCCTTTTAATTCAAAGGCTATGACTAATTGTGATGATTTGAAATTCCGCTTAATTCAGCCTTTAGTTATTTATATTCTATACAAAAGGAAAGACATCCATAAAGTTGCAGAAAGGTGATGAGAATTAAGATTTTTTTACTTTTTTGCCAACTCTCTTAAAAATTCAAGAAAATCTGCATGAAAAGCATTTCTTTTTTATTTGCTTCTTACTTTTTTCTTCGCATCACATTTTAATGCAATTGATATATTTTTATTGTTGTAAATGCCTTATGTTGATATATTATTCGGTCTGGAATGCAGTAGGCATTCATTTGTACATATATACATACATACAGATTTTGGGTTTATTATTTTTAAAGGAAAATGCAGTAAAAAACATTAAAATTTATATTTAAATATAAATTATTGAAACAACACATATGTTAGTAAAGGGAATAAAAGGTACTTCCACAATCAAAGGATTTCTTCTGCAATTTGCTTGTAATATATTTGTAATATGTATATAGATAGATATGCTGATCAACATCAGTCTCCCTATCCGTCCTTACGTTCTCACTTGTTCAAAGTTGCAAAAATGAACGATGAAAGTGTTAAAAAACTGTTAGACATACCTACAAGTCGACATACATATACATGTTCCTACACCTATACCCGCATACATGAAAATATTAATTATTCGATTTTATTCTGTTATCAAAACAATCTAACTGGTCTGCACATAAAATTCCTGAAAAGTCTACAACTTCCAAGCTTTAGAAGGTTACGTAAACTAAAAAACGAATTTGTCGAACAAAGCTGTGTTATTCATGCTTTTATCGAGAAATTTCCAAGTAAACGCCGGTATTAACTGAAGAGGACAAAGTAGGACTGCCTAAGTTACTATCTAATAAGAAAAAAAAAAAGAGATTCAGTGCTACGGCGCGATAAGTCGCGTAAATATGAGAAGCAAGCGTAAGATAAAAAAAAAGATTTAAAAAATGAAAGTATGGAGCATATGCTCAAGAATATGTAAGAAACGAAGATCGACCATATAATTAATGTTCGTCTTGAAAATGGCAACTCCTTACATTTATGTGAATTTAATGTGGGATGGGATTGAAAATGACCAACATGTTACTAAGCTATTTAAATAAGTTCTGCTTAAGCCGTTTTACAGATAAAAAAATCCACTGCGCTCCAATATATTTCATATAATTTTACGAGTGATTTAAATCCTTTAACATATTTGTTTTCCTATTTTTTAATTTAATTTTCAACTTATGATATAAAAAGGGAGTACTTTTTCTCCCTCCTTTTTTCATTTTTTTTTTTTTCTAAAACTCAAAAAAGAGAAAAAGTAAAACTAATAAATGGATTACTTGATCAAGCAATTTCTTGCAACAAACTTGTCGGAGTTAAAAGCACAAAATCATAAATAACTCAACAAATGATATCGAATTCGTTGCATTCTATTTGTGAGCAGTCGTTGTCGCTTTTTTGTGTTTATTTATTTATATATATATATATATATATGTTTCTTTCATTCTTCTTTGCTTTTCTAAACCAATAAAAAAGCAGAAGTAGAAACTCAAACCAAGTTAAAAGACATACATACATTATATATATACATACACATTTACCGAAATCCTAGTGGCACTGCACACGATGCAATCCAGATATGTTTCATTACAGTTTGAGTTTTTAAGGTGGCGCTCAACTCGAAAAACGTACACGGCTTAGATAAAAACATGTGTGACTATGTAAATGTGTTTATACACAGCTAGAGTAACACATTGTGCAGCATGCTTTTCATATGACATTCTAATTGCAGAATGCAGTCAATGCGAAAGTGCAAAATCATGTCAACAACAATTTTCCATTGGCGGCATACATTCGCTAACATACATTTGTCCAGACATGCTTTTCTGAGTTTTTAAGGGAAGGTGGTGTTGCTTGTCCTAATGATTGCTATGTTACCACCGACACTGAATACTAAAAGTAGAGATAGTTTCTTGCTTTTTTTTTTGTGCTTATTCGATTTGCCTTTGAAATGAAATAACATTTGTAGCAAACTTGTCATACGAAGCACATTGAGGAAATCAGAAAAAAATAAATTCAAAAATCATTTCTAGATTTCTAAGATAACATAAAACTGGATCTTTTTTCATAACATAAAACTGGATCGGTAGATAATTGTTATCTGTATTTTTCTCAATTATAAGTTTAGTGCTGGCTATCGTATAGACGGGTCTTGACTTTTGCCTTGCTGGGCGAGATGCTGTACCCTTAAGCGCTGATTACTTTTTATATGGGAGATATCTAATGGTAAGAATTTAATTTCTTTTTATCGCTTATACGACACTTTCGGTTTTTTATCCGCCTGGGTGGCCGAGTAGGCAAGAGTCTCGACTAGCAACTCATTGGTCGTGGATTCAAGTACGGTAGAGTTTTTAATAAAGCCCAAAACCTTAGATCCTAGTACTTTAACACTTTAGTCTTAAAATTTATTCTCTGACTAAATTAATAATAATAATAATAATAATACTTTCAGTTTGTAAGCAGCAAGAAGCCTTTAAGTTTTGGTTTTCATCATGAATATCCTTTGTTCTTAGAATTGAATAACGTGCTGGTTACACAGATTCGCCATTTTATTTATCCAAAGCAAGGCATTGCCAGATTATAATGAGACAATTCACTTTAATTCAACAAAGCGAAACTTCTTTGATCTTAAACATTTTTAAGTATATATGTTTATTATACCAACCACTAATACTGTTTTTTCTCATAATGTATGCAACACCCAAAAGGAAGCTGCAGAAACTCTATAAAGTATATATATTCTTGACCAGCTTTAAATTCTGGGTTGATTTAGCCATGTCCTTCCTTCCTGTCCTTCTGCATGTTTGTGTGGTGTGTGTTGTTGGCATTCTACTGGTGCCAAAAATGAAGATATCTATTTCAAATTTAGTAGAAACGTTGGAAGTTCCTGCACGCAGTTTGGTATTGAATGCGGGCCAAATTTATCCGAGCACAAGCGCTCAGTGGAGCATAAACGAACACAACTTGGGATGGGAATGGATTATTCACAAATTGTAAAAGGTAGCCATCTGAAATTTTCCACATTTACTTTGCCGAATACTATACTCGTTAGATCCAAAAATGGAACCAATCGGCCATGCCCATACCAAGTTACAAATAATTAAATATAATTTTTTTTTTCACTTTTTTCAGGTTTTTTATGCTTCTTTATTGTGATAAAGAAGCAACGCGGGCAGGATGCTTAAAACTATTTTGTGCATTCCTCAAATGAAGATATATATTATCTGCCTAAAAATGGGTTAATTTTAAAGTGAGTATGGTAGACACTGCGATTAATTTTTTCTTGTTAATACCAGCAAAATGGGTACCAAATAAAAGAACTTGGAAAGTAGGACGCGAAAAGCGTAGTGGTGGGTATGCGAGATTCGGCCTTTGCCGAATATAACTTTCTTACTTCTTTTTTTCTCGTTGCAATTTTTGAAAATCCTCAACAGTTCAAATCTCTCTCCATGATCTAATTCAAACATGATGTCAACTGCAAGGAAACTGCCTTTAGGAAGAAAGGGATGAAGCCGCTTTTTCGATGATAACAGATGGGAATCCTATGTTCATCTTCTTTTCTAATGGTATGTATACATATATACACATATAAATTTATATATTTCCATTTATTCAGAATTATGTAGTGAGGGGTAAGCAACGTCGTCCTAAATGTAAAATAATGAAAATTTCGTTTCTCGTTGCAAACGTAGAGGGTGTAACGGTACCAAATCGAGAAAAGTAAATGTTTGCTTATCAGCAGAAAGGTAAATCGTTCTAAATCTAAAAAATTCTTAAATAGAAAAGAGGAAAAGTTTGTTTTTTTCTAGAAAATGATGATTACTTTCAGCCGCTCTTTTGATTATTAGTTTATTAGATTAACGTTACATCTAGTTTTAAAAATTTGGAGTAGAGCCGATAGCTGTCACACAACCGCCAACACGCAGGAAGAGGGATCAATTAATCATGGTCGAACAAATCTGGTTTCTACATTCTTCACAAAATCTTCATTTTATAAATTAAATGAAGAAGAAAAGGTAATTTTTATCTTCTGCTTTTTTTTATTATTTTAAAAAAAATTCCTAAACCACTAACAATTGTTCTTAAATTTTTTTAAAAGCGTGCTTTTTATTAACACTATTATATCATAAATTTTTTTTCTTAATAGGTTTCTTAACAATACTACCGCATTCAAAGGCTGTACTGGGATTTTCTACCTTGACGCCGTACCTGTACCTATCTCGGAAAAATGGTTTGTGAGGAGGACGATTGAATATTATTCGGTTTTGCACACTTCCCATTTCACGAAGAAAGCTTACAATTTGAATCATTGCTACGATGACGTCAAACATAAATTTATTACGTAATTATCTTTTTTAATTTAAGCTATTGTTTTAGTAGGTTTATTTATATATTATATAAAAATATATTCTACTCAATAAAGTAATAATAATAAAAAAATACCGTTTTTGTTGTTTTGGAATTCGTTTGTGTAAGTATGTATATATTTTTTTCAAAATTTTTTTGAAAATTTTTTTCAAAATTTTTTTTCAAAATTTTTTTCAAAATTTTTTTCAAAATTTTTTTCAAAATTTTTTTTCAAAATTTTTTTCAAATTTTTTCAAAATTTTTTTCTCAAAAATTCTTTTGGTTTATGTAAAATTTTTTTGTTGCTAAACATTTTATGTATATAAACATTTTTCAAATGTTTCTG